TTCAACGCTTAAAAAATAAAAGTAAATCATATTTATAACAGGAAGGCTGCTTAATTAAGCAAGGGTTTTTTTCTAATGAAAATCGAATTAACACACGTGAGCCTTGACAAAGGAATGCAACGTAATCAAAGCACAAGGCAGTGAAGGTAAAGGTGCAGCCCTGCAATTGCTTGCTCACGCCACTGCTGGCAGGCCTCTGCAAGGGCGATCTCTTAGAGAGGCCTTCTATAGGGTAATTGGCCTACTCTTCCGCGCTGGCTAGACGTCTTAGAAGAAGTGAGATTACTCTTTGGTTCTTTCGGTAAAGTCACATAGGTAGAAAAATTAAATAAAAAATAATACATCACGACGTTTCGATCACAACACAAGCGGTCGTCCTCAGGTGGAAAAAATAATCCAGCAGTGGAACTACTAAACCAGGAATAAACACAGCGAGAGAGCTGTTACAACAAGACGATATATATGTGGTGAAGGGCAAGCAGGCGGGGTCTGAGCTGGAAATGAATTCCATCCCCGTACGCATGCACGTCAGTTGTGTTAATGGGGCAGATTAGGGAAAGAGAGATTCGGGTTAGAGATTAGCATCGCCCCTGCATATGCGCACAACAGCAGTGTTAATGGGAGATGAGGACTATGTTGATGGGAGAGATTAGGCAAAGAGATTAGGGGGATTAGCAGGTTAATGTCATGTCTATGTGTAACACAAGCTGCGGCGCTGCCAACTGCGCTGTGAGAGGCAAGTGCGTCCACGCAAGGGAACCACAGCAACGGTGGTCGCGCCAGTGAGACACACAGCCCATCACACAGCCAGAACCATCGATACATCGAGGCTAAGAGAGCAGAGGTGGCCATGTTAGTGAGACTCCAGCCCGTTAATGCAGAGGCACCTAACAGGGCAATGCAACTCAGAGAGTCGGATATAACAGCCAAACGGCAAGGAAGAATGGAAGCACCACAGCAAGTTACGACTTTGCTTGGTTAATAACGTCCTTCCAATGATTGCTCAGCTTATACCCATCTTCTCGGTTGAAATTGTCTCTGTGTTTATATATCTGGATGGATTCATGGACAAATCTTTGATGGTAGCCCGAAGGTTTGCAGAGTACCTTGGTCTCGGAAAAAATAATATCGTGCGAGCTCACTGCATTATAACAATGATCAGCCATGGCAGAGGTATTGGTTCTGCCATGTTTTAAATCTGCCTTGTGTTCGCGAACACGGTCTGAGACATGTCGTTTCATTTCCCCAACGTAACTGCTGCCGCAGACACAACTTAGTTTGTAGACACCAGGGTATTGCATGTCAGGAATCACATCCTTCACAGATGGGATAAAATCACGGATTTTATGTACTGTATTGAATCGGACCTGGATCTTGTGTTTAAGATTTTGGAAATATTTTTGGTAACACCTGCAATGTATGGCAAGGTGATGGTTTTGATTGGGTCCTCAGATGGTTGTCTCCCCATGGTTGGGGCTACAGCTTTGCGGATTGCGCGGTCTGAGTATCCATTCATCTTGAGGGCTTGGTGTACGTGCTCCAGTTCACTGGCTAGATGGCGCTGGTCGTAGATGCAGCAGGCCCTATGGTGTAGTGTTTTGATGAGGGAGTTCTTCTGGGCCAGATGGTGGTGGGAGTCAGGCTTTAGATAGCAATCCATGTGGGTGGTTTTCCTGTAGACGGAATGTCCCAACGTACCATCAGGCCTCTTCTCGATCAAAACATCCAGGAATGGTAGCTTGTCATCATTTTACACTTCCATGGTGAATTTGATGGATGGGTGTATGGAATTGATGTGGTTTAAAAATTGGTTCAGTGCTGGCTGGCCATGCGGCCAGATGACGAAAGTGTCATCCACAGGGAAGGACATAGGGTGGATGTCAGGATGGCATTTGTTTGAAATTTCTCCATGAAAACATTCGCTACCACTGGTGATAAGGGAGAACCCATCGGGGTACCTTCATTTTGTTTGTACAATGTGCCATTCCAGATGAAGTAAGTGTTGGTAAGGCAGTGCCTCACCAAAGTTGGTACATCAGGATTCAGGGTTTGGTGGTACATGTTGTTTATGTCGTTTATTGTGAAAATTCGATCACAGTTCCTATGATCACTGTTACATTGCTTTTATGGCTTTATTTTGGTGATTTCGAAAAGTTTTTTGGTTTGGCCATGTTTGTTTGTTGGAGTACGGAGTTAAACTGATGGCCTTAATCTAAGTTGTCTTGTGGTTGTTGTTGTTTGACTTGCATCCCTCTGGGATTTCTGCACACAACGTTGGTGTACGGTGCTTTTTCTGAAATATTTTGCTGTCTTTTCTTGGATTTTCTGTTTGCACATAGTCACATAGTCACTTTAAGATGTTTTCTTGTTCATGTTTTTGTTTTTTGTTTGTTGCGGTTGCACCCGAATCAAGGGCCGAATGGCTCACAGGGCTATACCAAATAAATGAAACTGAAAAAAAAGTCTTAAATTATTGAAGACTTGGTCGAAACATCGTGATATATATTTTTTTCTACTAACGTGACTTTACCGAAAGAACCAAAGAGTATGGATTCCGGCAGTCACGACAGCTTCAAATCAAGATAGAAGTGAGATTACCCATACTTTACCCTACAACATTCGTCCTGCCGATTGACTAAGAACGGAGTGAAAGACAAATCACCCTAACGTGGCCAAAAGACAAAATTAAGTCGAATGACACGATCAAACTGCACGCCGTGCAAGCAGAACAAAGAAAGCAAAATAAAAACCGACAAAGCGCACAAATAACAATTACAAAAGGGCACGCGCTCTTCAAGACAACCTGTCGAAAAATCTGCCACGGTCCCAGAATGTAAAATTTTAAGCTAAAGACAATAAATAAGTAAGCAAATAAATAAATAAAATGCAATCCAAAATGCTGCGCGCCTCACTGTGCGGCGGCGAGCGCCTGCGTGATTGCCATCCGATTGAACCTGTCGCGCTGTAGCCAGCCGCCACAGAATTAATCTGCCCCTGCTGAGACCCTGACGACATTCAGCACTCACATCAACCCAGCCAATTTTCACTCTCCCGGGTGGGCGGGGGAGGGTACAAAAGACAAAGATCCCCCATATAGCCTTAACAGAATGTATGAGCAAGTGCCGTTAGCAGGCACCGATGAGAAGGCCGGCAAGGCAGATGAGTGGGTGAGTGGCTAACAACACGCCCGGCCACCTTTGTCTCCCTAGTGGCGATGTTTACATACCACACCAGGTACTCATTTAAGGCTGAGCCGGACGAGGGGAGGCCCAGAACCAGTTAAGATAATCGTCACTGGGGAAACTAACTCGGGTCGCCGAGTTCGTAGCGCATTGCGCGAACTGCTACGCCACCGAGGGTACACACACACTCACACCCAAGCACGCGCACATGGACACCCAGATACCTGGCACTCCGGTTCTGAAATTTAAAAAAATGTGATCCCGTAAGGTTTAATCTCAGTGCGCGGAATATAACACTACCCCACCGGTTTATTTCCGCTTGGTTGCGTTTGATGTCTGCATGAAATGCTTTGAATAGGGGAATGTTAAATTAAAGCAGCCAAACGTAATCCATGTATGCATTTCGAATTGTTTTAAAAGTAAATTTAAAAAATGACACGATCCTGCCAGTGTTGCGTACAATTAAGTACGGGCTATGAAAAACTAACGGCCTTATGTAGAGTAGGGCTATTGCAGTGTGATGACGAAGTTGGAAAGTTGCAGTTTATTTTTTAATTTGTTTTCAGAGATGTGTGCTTTATGAGCGAGTCCGATTAATGAATAGATAGCGAGTAATAATACATCAGTTGCTAGCATTAGTAATTGTAAACTAAGATTTGGCAGCACCGGACGTCAGTTGCAAATACGTAACAATACGAGATATTCATTTTCCAGTTTTCGTGCAGTGCACACGCCTAATAGTTAACATTCATTCGAATGGTTCATTGTGCTCGAGTTCACATTCTCATATTCGGCCGACTAAAAACATGCGCAGGCCTACGCTGATGCCATGTGACACGCGTTCAGTGTAACCAGCATTGTGCTTCGTATCCCCCCCCGCCCCCAAACAACCCCCCAACCAAATTGTCCCCCATCCCGTGGGTGGCCACCGAAGGGGGATTATCTGGCCCTCCTCACGCCTCCGCAAGTAAATAACTACATTCATCCTCTGAGCCCAGCCCTGACCTCTTTTTTTTCAAATCCCCGATCCCACTGAGCAATCTGTGTAGCTGCAGGCCTTGAAATGCATCCGGACACCAGCTGCTCTAGTGACGTGCCGAAAAGCCACCGCGTTCGCCTGTGCACGCCAAGTGGCGAAGGGGGGGTGGGGTGGTGCGTGTAGGCAGCTGCACGCACGCATCATGTGCGTGCGACTAAAAACAGACTTCGTAAATACTGACCGTGGTGCGTGCACAACTGGGGACACACAGACGTACGTACGTACTGCGTGGTGCGTGCTCACAAGACTATGGCCCTTTACAGGAAACCTGTAATTAGCGGAACCCTCTTCGCCAGACTGTAATACAAGCGCAACGGACCACTACGACGAATGTGTGTGTGTATAGAGGGATCGGCAAGCTTGGCCTGCTCCCCGTCGTGTGCAAGATGTCCATGAGGAGGCTTCAGATAACAACGCTGCAGTACTTTGCAAGTCTCGGCCATTGTTACCTGAGTCAAATACCCCTTTTCCACAGGGAAATCCGAACCATGCCAGCATGACCCCCCCCCCCCCCGCCCATGGCATGGCTGGTTTTCCACTGGACATTTGCCCTGCCGAGCCAGAGCCAAACCTGTGAAACCCTGGCCTCACTGGACATCTGAATCTGACTCGGAGTCAAGCAGGCCGCACGCAATCAAATTACTTGACTCGTTTCATTGTGTGTGTGACGTCAGTAGCATGACTCGAGTTCTGCAGTGGAGAAACAACCCGCAGTCTCCTTTGCTGCTCAGTTGTAAAACAGAAAGGAGGTTAAAGCGTCAGTGGTGGTGTGGCAGTACCTGCATAGCAGTATGGAGGCTGCTCAGTGCTTCTGGCTGAATTTCCCGTAGAAGCCCAAGCTGTCCTCCGCGTGCAGCTTCACCTCCGGCACGGAGCATATCGAGGTCACTGTCAGATACAAAGACAACGATCCCCCCACAAAGGGTTAACAGACTGTTGGGGCTAGGGTGGTCACATGACGCACACGCACAACATGGTACATACACACATAGGACGCACATGTAACCGCAGGAAACAACAGACGGCATCAGCACAAATACACACATAGGACAAAGATTGCTATTAGCAAGCACCCATTAAGGCCGACATTGTACACGGGGAGGGGGGGGGGGTGATGTCGCCAGTGCATCTGACGACATTTTTCTCCCCAGTGCTCATGTACACGTACTTATTTAAGGCTGAGACGACCTAGAGGAGACGCAGAACCAGTTCCGATATCACGAACCACTGATATTAGCCACAACCGGTTTCTCGGTTCGTACTGCAGTGCACAAACCACTACACGCCACAGCTCTGCATGCGTAGGACACGCACATCAGCCAAATACAAATATCCCCCTATCACTGTAGAGCCTGTTGGGGCAAGCGCTGCGAGTGAGCACACACAAAATAGACATATATATACACATAGGATGCAACATACAGGACACACACAAAGACAAAAATCTCCCGTATATAGCCTTTAAGAGACGGCTGGGGCAAGTGTTGAAAGAAAACACCGATCAAAGCTGGCAAGACACATGAGGGGGTGGGTGGCCAGCACTACGTCCGACTGTCTTTATTTCCTCACTGCTGCTGTTTATATATTGAACCAAGTACCCATTTAAGGCTCTAACAAACCTAAGGGAGGTCCGGAACAGGTTCAGATATAATCACCACTGATATTAGCTGTGAACGGAAATCAAACTTGGGATGCCAGGTTCATAGGGGCAGTGAGCTGAACACTGCCCGACCACTCCCCACACATACAGACATGACACACACAGGAAACACGCACATGCATAACATATACATGGACTCGGAAGACACAAAATCACTCCGATCATACACACAGGACACTCGCACAACAAACAGGGCCACACACGCCTGTGCTCGGTCACTCGTGTGCTCGCCTGCATACACTCGCGACACTTGTGCACTTACACGAACATGGCAAGCGAGGGTTTTATTTTTGTCACAACATGGTGATGGATCTCCAAGCCCTGCGAGATGGAATAATTGGGCTAGGCCTCTGTTTTGACAGCAACAGAAAGCTGATACCTCACGCCGCACGATTTTCATTATGTAATGTGCGCACATTTTTTGTTTTTTCTCTCACGAATCCATCAATATTCGCCATTACCACTTTTGAATTCGGCATTCCGGCTGAAAGAGTGATGACGTTGCTCAGACCTCTATGTATCACAGCTCAGAATTAATGCAACAGTGAGCAGGGGGCTTTAAAGGTTGCTCAGTTCACAGAGCTAGGGGTCAGAGTGAGGTGTTATCGGCCCTCTTAAGTGTCCCGAGATCAATAGTTTCCCTGCTAAATCTTCCCCACCTCGCAGTCAGGTTAGGTCGAATGATGCATTTCGTTAGCAGTCTGTTTCATCGCCATAATTGCAATATTTTTTATTACTTTGAGAAGGTGGGAAAAAAAAATATGACAACTTTCTAATAGATTTTTTTTCAGCGGATAAAGAGAACCCAGCTCTCCGTTGGAAACGCCGGGTGTGTGTGTGTCTCTCTCTCTCTCTACGTGTGCACTCACTGTCAGAGAGCTCCGTGAGCCTGGGAGGGAGGTCGCTGAAGTACAGGTGTCTGAGTGCGTCGATAGCTGTAATGCGACTCCTGGGGTGTGCCTGCAACAGGCGCGACGCGAGCTCCTCCGCTACGGGAATGAGTGCCAGCCTGCTCGCACACACACACGTGCACACACACACACACAGGCGCACACAGCATGTGGTCATTGTGTACACAGGACAAAGATCCCCCCCCCCCCCCCCACAGCTGACTGTCGGGGGCAAGTGCTGTCAGATAACACAGGTATGCACATGCTAACACGCACAGCACAAAGACCCCCCCTAACAGACTGTTGGGGCAAGTGCTGTTAGTGAGCACCTATGAAGGTCAGCAGGGGACACGTGGGGGTGGGTGGCCAGCACCACGCCCGGCCGCCTTCGTCTCGTTAGTCACGATGTTTACACAGCGCACCAGGTACTCATTTGAAGCTGAGTCGACCTAGGGGAGGCCCATGACCGATTCAGATAATCGTCACTGGTGTGGATGGCCATAAGCGGGAATCGAACTTGGGCCACCGGGTTCGTAGCACAGCGCGCTGACCGCTACACAAACCTGTGCGAACAGGCACACCATGACACACAAACATCGGACACACACGCACAGGGTAGGAAACACAGGACACACACAGCACACACGTGCACATAGGACAAAGAGAGAAATCCCCTATATGGTATACTTAGACCCTATTAAGGCTGACTCAGTGCGTAAAGGGGTGGGTGTGGCCGGGCCAATAATGGTGGTGACATGTTTCACGAGGAACTTATTTGAGGCTGAGTTGACTTAGGGGAGGGACGGGACTGGCTCGTGTCATTACCACCGATGTTAGTTGTTTTCTGGGAATCCAACTCAGCCCTCTGGGTTCGTAGCCCAGTGCGATAACCACGAAGCCAGGGGCCCATCCATTTAGTGGGTACGCAAAAATCTGTCAAAACTTGACCCCTCTCTGCCTCCCTGTATGCACGCGGACTTTTACCCCCCCCCCCCCCACCTGTGTACGTACGCCTGACGCACCCCCCCCCCCGAATCCTATAGAACGGCCGATATTTCATTCACGCAGAAACGATCAAGGATTAATAATATTAACGTGTCTAAGCCAACAGATAGTCCACCGCCGGACTATCTAACTCATTTGAAGGCCAATGTAGACAAATTATTTATTATCGAGGCTTCACCCCCCCCCCCCCCCCGTGTACGTACGCATTTGGGTTAAACCCCCCACTCCCCCCTCCATGCGTACGTACTAAATGGATGCTCCCCCACCACTCCCCATCATTGTGTACTCACCCACACACGCACACACACACACGCACACACACACCCACACACGCACACCTACACACGCGCGCACACACACACGTACACACACCCACACACGAGCACACACACACGTACGCACACACACGCACACACACACGCACACCCACCCACACACACGCACACACACACGCGCACACACCCGAACACACACGTGCACACACACGCGCACACACACATGCACACACACACACGTACAGACACACACACACGCGCACACACACCCACGCACACACACGTACGCACACCCACACACGCGCACACACACCCACGCACACCCACACACGCACACACACACCCACAAACACACACATGTACGCGCACACACACCCACGCACACACACGTAAGCACACACACACACACGTGTGTGCGTAACCAAAACCCACCTGCAGAAGTCTGCGCGCAACCAACTGTGTGTGCACTCAGAAACAAAAAGAATGAACGTCGTTGTTCATTTTCTGGACTTTTGGTTATGCTATTCATCTCTTCTGGCACCCCATGTGAACCTGCCAAGATTAATCAGTGCTTATTTACTAATTGAAATTAAAAGAAAAAGTTTCGGAATTTTCTTTCTTTAAGCGGGTTTAGGAGTAATGCTTGTAGTTTTGAATTATTTGACCACTTCTTTGTTTCAGTGCAGTGGGATTTTTTTAATTAAACGTGCCGCACAAGTAGGAATCAATAAACATCCAGAATATAACGTTTCACAAAGCAAACGTGTCGACCAAAATGCCTTCATAAGGTCTGCTGATGAAAGCCAGTGTTGACCATCTGTTTTTCTCTTTTCTCCAAATACTCTAAATTACTTTGCGTTGCCTACAAAGAAACTTAAATAATCGACAATAATAATTTTCAGCACTTAGTCAATACACTTCAGCACTTAGTCAATACTACATGAAGGCCGTCTCATGCCAAGTCAGTCATGTGGGTTGTTTGCCCATACTTTTCACCACGCTGGTCAGTGCGCGTTGTTGAAGTGGGAGATGCAATTGTTCAGAACCAGTTCAGACATCGCCTGCGACTGATGTTGCCGTGAATTGAGCTCAGATCACTGTGTTCATAGCAGTGTGCTAGCCAGTGTACTATCGGTCACCCCCCCTCTTCCCATGCAGGGGGGGGGGGTGTTAACTACGTCCCCTGGTATATAGGAGGACGTGGGTTCGATTCCAACCCTAATGCCTCTTTATATTTTGAGTTTGAATATTCACCCAGTGGGTAAAAAACACCTCCAACCATTATATAAACGGAGTGGTGGCTTCTGCAATCTCTCATTTACTTGATACAGCTGTCGTGGCTGTGACGGTACCACCTGAAGACGGAAGCTTGTGTTGCCTCCGAAACGTCGTGATTTTTTATTTTATTTTACTTTTTAATGTTTTTTACCTACGTGACTTTACCGAAAAAACCTAAGAATATTCACCCCGTGGTTGCGTGGATTTTTCTCCGGGTCCTCTGGGTTTTCCCCTCATATTTAGAAACATGCGTTTTAGAGTATTTGCCTGATATAAATTTCCACGTGATAAGTCACTTCATTGAGCTATCATTTATGGCCAGGTCGCTTCTAAAAAAGAGCTAAATAGCTCAGTGGGCCTCACCTGGTAAAATAAAAATAGTTCAATAGTTAATAAATGCTCTACTTACACCTCAGCTGCCCATCCATTAACATAAACAGGACCCATTGCTATCCACTTAAAATGTAAATGCATTACCACCATCATCTTAATTGGAATCATCGTTATACTAAGAATAATAAATGGCAACATCTGTTCATTGTAGCGTATAGCCTTGCTAAAGGTTAACACACATTATTGAGGTTGGCCACTGATTTCTTCTGCACGATGGATTCAGGAACATGATATCAAATTCACTTTCACAAAATCATCTCAACGTGATGTCTTCAGCCACGGTGTGATCTGCCCGGTTATTTATTCCCATTGAGTTATTGTAGATGATGTGACCCTTGGGAGACTCGGCTATGTGGCATGCGTGAGAATAGGTCAAGCCGTAAAAAGTCACCCCCCCTATGAATGACTTCATAAAGTGGAGTGCGCTCTGACATATTGCGCGGGCCATTGTGTGGGTTCACAGACCCATCACTTGACTCTTAATAATCCTCCTAATCCATCTAACTGATTATAAGTGCTGCACATCAGCATGTCCAGCATCTCCACTGAGCAACAGAGGTCACCGGGTCATCTATAAAGCTTAAGTGGACATGCATTCCTGCCCCTTGCCTGTTGCGGGCCCCCTGTTTGTGTTTTCGTGTGTGCTTGTGTGGGTACATTGTGGGCAGTCGGGGGCAGTGCAGAAAAATATATTGCTGTATGTACATATTGTACTGTGCTTCTATGCTTTCATGTCCATGGCTCCCCACTCAGGGCTTAATGTCTCACTGTATATTTTGCCGGGTCGCTGATAAACTATCATCGGCGTGTGAGGAGTAGCCAGTCAGAGTGAGAGGTATAATGGACGCGGTGTGCCGGGCACAGAAATATGTCCTTAGTCGCTGACCTGGACAATATCTGGGTGAAATTAAGTCATGCCCTTCACCTTCACCAGCCAGGCATAGTGAAGTATGATCAAATAACCCCCACAGCCCTGCATGGCGAGGGGAGGCCCTCATTCAGCATTTGACAAAAGGGCTACGTGCATTCCTGAAGTTTGGAAATAAAGCAGACAGCAAGCTGCAATGAAAACCTCCACGGACTTCCAGTTCCAACACCACCAAAGGGGCAGAGTAAATAAAATTGTAAGTGAATTATTCTATAACTTTTAGGCTATCCAGGATGTCTGGACAGACTAATCAAATGGTTAAGATGTTCTGAGCGAGCAAGTTTTCACACAGTCGAAGATCCGATTCACTATCAGAGCAATTTGATGAGTTAATAATTAGTTAATAAAGCTAATTATCTTCTATATTTGAAGCTTTCGTGACTGCAAGGATTCATATTCTTAGGTTTTTTCGGTAAAGTCACGTAGGTAAAAAATTAAAATTAATAAAAGTAAAATAAAAATGTAATAAAAATCACGACGTTTCGAAGGCAACAAAAGCTTCCGTCTTCAGGTGGAACTGTCACAGCACGATAGCTGTATCAAGTGAGAGGAAGCTTGTGTTGCCTCCGAAACGTCGTGATTTTTATTTTATTTTTATTTTACTAATTTTACATTTTTTACCTACGTGACTTTACCGAAAAAACCTAAGAATACTAATTATCTTCATCAGCCATGATCTCTCCACTGCTGGAAGAAGGCCTCCGCCCAAGCTGTCGCCACCTCTCACGATCCTGTGATCACACAATCCGCCTAGCACCTGCACAGGAGCTGATCTCATCGCTCCGCCACTTTGGTGAGAGCCTTCTCGAACGTAATGCTACAGAAGTGACTCGTGCTTATCTTTCGTGAAACGACAAAACGTTCAGACCCCGTGACTTACTTTGCAAGGGGAGCCGCTACGTGCCAATTATCAAAGTAAAATCCTACACCTGCCCTCGAATAAATTCGTTCCTATAAATACTGTACTAGCCCTGAGTGTAAAATAGTAATACAAATGGTAATGAAACTCAATCCGGTCTCATCTTGCCAAACATATGACGCCGCTTTGAATGTCACTGAATTTGCACAATGAGCCGCATGTTGACACTCCTTGCTCGGGAGGATTAAGCAGGAGAATTTTGGAGATTTTCTCAAGTCACGGAAGGCCAACAGGCCGTGCCTGTCCATGCCTGCTGCAAAGGGTCGGTCCGTGCTCGTCATGCAAAGGGTGGTTAACAAATAACTCCCAGACAAAAGGCAG